CGAGGATCTGGGTCCTCGGTAGGCCTATGGGGCCCTGTTTGCAGCATTGCCCGCCCTAAGTGAAGGCGGAGGTGCCCGCCCTAAGTGAAGGCGGGTCTGACATATCGCAAGAGGCTCTGACTGTCAATTTCATATTTGGGGTCCAGGTAGTTGCGACGCGCCAGTTGGTTGAAAGAAACTCAGGCCGGGCAACACAGACATTTCCACGGCCTTCCGGGCTTTTCCAAAGAATGCAGGCCCTGGGCGTGATTCGCAGCCTCATACAGGCCCAGGCCAGTGCAGCCAGGCTGCGCGAGCAGGCCAACTCTTTCCATAAAGGAAAGAGCTCTGCCCTGGCTGCTCATTTCGGTCACTTGCTGGCTGGCGGCAGCGCTGCTGGAGCGATTGCTCGCGGGCTGGCTGCCGGCATTGGAGCAAGAGGCTGCGCACGTGCGGTCGTGTGTGGGAGCAGGGCGCGGCTGAGGGCAGCGCCATAGCCAGCCTCCATAGCGGGCTCGGCTTGGATACACATTGAGGTGCAGGGGTGGTCTTCGGGTGCAAGAGAGGACAGGTGTGGGTGTTAAGTCAAGGAAGGGCGAAGGATGATGATGATGATGATGATGTGAGGGCACTTACCTTGTATTGGCGATGGTCAACATATGGGCGACATCTTCAAGTACTTTGGGTTGCCGCTGATGTCAACAGTTGCATTGTCTATTATTAGGCTGATCGTAGCTGCGTAGGAGTAGGCTGGGCGCTGAGCGCCAAGTAGGAGTGAGAAGGGACTGCACTCTTGTGTTGCCGAAGGAGAGAGAAAGCTCTCCATGACATTGGTTTTCAGTACTACGAACCTCCATTGGTGTATTATTGGTGCAATGCTGCTCTCTGGACACAGTGTGACTATCTGGCTTTTAATGTGATGGTGTAATCTGGATTTGTCATCTCGCTGTTGCTTATTTTCCTTGCAATTTGGTATCAGAGCTGGTTCATATTGCGCTTCATTGGTTCTTCGCAATAGCTATTGGTGCTTCGCATGAGGTGTCGGGCAGTGATAAGGCATTGGCGTTGAACATTAGGCGGCCCAGGGTAGTGTGGGCGCGCCAGGGAGCTATGTGGTGACATACGGGGTGTATGCTGGATGATGAGAGCTCGCTGATGTGACATATTAAGCCGAGGCAAAGACCGGTCATCATAATTGCACATCAGGTTGTCGGTGAGAAATCTGTGGTTGGGGGCAGCATTTATGAGGTACGTTGCTCTCTTCCTTATCTACCCTCTTCGTTACTTCTTTCCGTGAGGAAGTGAGTTCTGTCTTGAGAGTCCTCTCGATGTGAGGTGTCGCGAGCGCTCAACCTTGAGAGTCGACATTCTTCCTGGGCAGCAAGCTGGTGGGAGACGGGCGAAGCCTCTGAAGGGCCCTGGACGAAGCACTCGGGTCACTATCACCATGCCAACCCGCTACGACTAGTACACGCATGCTTTGCCGCAAATCCTTGGTTCTGCTGCATGGGCAATAGAGGTCATGCAGGGCCTGCCAGCCCTTTGACAGACGCTTACCAGACCGTCTTTAAACATTTCTGGTTGGGGACTCGGAATTGAATCTGGTTGTGATCGTCGTCCTGTCTGCGACATTGAATAATTCCTGAGGAGATGGAGGATCTCCTTAAATCCCTCCTGATCAGCCAGATCAACCGGGTGTAAGGCTCGTTGCATGCGAGGGTAAATAAAAAGTGCAGGGGCTGGCAGGTTCAGCGTTGACTTGGGGCATAGGGGTGGGCCGGATTGCACACCTTCAGACACGCTGCTCAACCAGATGCTCAGGACGTTGACACAAAGTGACCACTCAAGAAGGATACAGGGGGAGGGGGGATTCCGGTAACAGTTCGTAGTGGCAATCAACAGACAATCTGCCATCAAGCATACATCCCCAATAGGAGATGTTATTTTTATTTTTGATTATCTAGTTGTTACAGACTTGACTAACAACTGACAGACAGCTACAGACAGATTAGATCTTTGTTGTACTGCAATATGTTCTAGGGTAATCTAAAAATAGATTTAATATATCCTGTAGGACCTGACATTAGTTGTTACTGTATCACCTAACTGTTTCTGTTCCAGCCGACCGAAATTAGTTGTGATTCATAATCGGTTGTGTGTCAGGCTAAGGTAGGATTCAGTGTCGATTCTAGTTTAGATCACACACACTGTAGCTCATGAGTGATGCAAGCACTAGTGAGGAGTTGTTAGTGGACGACCGTAGGACTACTCATGGGACTGCCCGTAGTCGACCCTTGATATTCTTGGAGTTAGGTCCAAGAGACGAGAGAAGATTGCGGAGAGAGGCTAGAGAGAGAGCAGCGGCAAGAAGAGCGACGGCAGCTGAGGATAGTGCCATGACTAGAGTTTCAGCTAGCACCGGTGCAACCATGGCTACCTCATCTATGACGCAAGTCTCTACACAGTCCACTTCGTCAGGAGTCAGTCAGAGTGGTTCTCAAGGGTCCATTAGTCAGATTGCTAGCTTGCAAGTCACGCCGGAGGATTTAGAAATCCGGCAAGCAGAAGAACTTCAGGATGAGCTACAGCGGCAATTGGACGAAGCAGCAGAGAGGAGAAGAAAAGCAATCCTGAGAAAAGCTAGACTAGGTAGTAGAAGAGAGGAGCTAGGCAGACTGGAAGGACTAGATGAGGCGGCATTGGACCCTGCTGGTCGTGTGCTGCGTAATGCTCTACTATCAATGGCAGAAGCGCAAAATGTCCAGCAGGAATTGCTGGCTGAATTGGTAGCAGGCCAGAAACAAATTCTGGCTGAACTTTGGGCTCCTCGTACGATGATGAGGCAGCCACAGTTTGCTGTAGTTCCCCCTGCGGGTGCGGGTCCTTCATCGACGCCGCTACACACAGGGCCAACTTTCTCTCCTATGTTTGGCATGCCCCCTCGAGGTGGTTTTGTAGCAACTAGTGGTCCGGTCCATAGGGTCTCAGCCGTACCATCCACGACAGTGGTCACTACAGTCCCACTGTCAAGCCAGGCCCAGGTTAGTGTGCAACAGCCTGTCTCAGTGGCTATGCAGCCGCTGCAGCAAGCCCCTGGGCCCATGCAGCCTATGCAGTGGATGCCTAAAATACCTCTGATGAGTCCCAAGCCCTTCTCTGGCCACAGGAAGAAGGATGAGGACTTAGACACCTGGGTGAGGACTGTGCCTACTTATGTGAGGCACAAGCTCACGAGGCCAGAGCAGGAAGTTGTAGTGGCTGCCTCCTTTTAAGAGGGGTCAGCAGCCCGCTGGTTGAATGGCTTAGTGCAGCAGCAGGGCTACGGTCAAAACTTTGATGCCTGGGCACAGACTCAGATGTTGGAAGAGTTCGTACGGTCCGTGTATAACAGGTGGCATGACCCGCAAGGGGCTCAGAAGGCCACCGCTTTGTTCCCGTAGGTTCAAGAATGTTAGAGAGCTAACGAACACCGTAGAACGATTACTCGTGGTACCTGGTGTGCGTTTTGATCAGCAGGTTCTCCTGACAGATTACCTAAGGTGCCTACCTGCAGAGGTAAGGACCAAGCTGGTTGATGAGTCCTATGTCGAACAACACACCTTCGCTTCTTTTAGTAAGAAAGCTCTGGGCATAGAGGCAAAGTTGGGATCCGCTCATCAGGTATCTCATGATGGTAGGAAGAGACTCCCCCAGGACTGGAAGAAGAAGGGTCAGTTGATGTTCATTGACCATGATGGTCAAACGACGGAGATTGACGATTTCGTAGATCTTGGGGAGGTGACAGAGCAGGATGGGGCCAGTGAGACTTCGGATGGGGGAGTCGTGGCACCTATTCAAGAAAAGGCTAGGGGGACCGGGAAGAAGAAGGTAGTACGGTCCACGGGTCAGGGCGACCAAGGAACACCTGCTTGGGTGAAACTTGGTTTAGACTAGGAGGTGTGGAGGGACCGAGTTGCTAAGGGTACATGCATGAACTGTGGCAACTATGGCCACACGTCACGGACATGCCGAGGCAAAAAGGTCACAACGAAGGTAACCTCACCAATAGTGGTGGGCTTATCTTCGAACTCTGGCAGTACTTTTGCGAGCACTTCACAGGGAAACTCCTCGGGCCAGTAGGAGTGTTAGCCGCTCTTACTCGCGCTGAAGTGGTTACGTTACCTTCCCCACTTCAGGCGTTGGCCAAGGCTAGTGACCCACGTATCGCCCCGCGGACACATTCAGACCCATCGACGCTCTATTCGAGAGATGTGTCTGAGGCCCTAGAAGAGCTAGAAACTGAGTTGTCAGGGAAGGACCCCAGGGACTCTTGGGCGATGATAAGTAGAGGTCCAGGGGGTGAACATTTCGTGGTAGAGGTTGATATAGGTGGCCACAAGGTTGGCGCCTTCGCAGACATAGGGTCTACACGAAACTTCATCAGTCGTGCTTGTGTGGATAGACTGCGCTTAGGGGACCAAGTGCAGTGGCTTAGCAGAACTGTAGCTTCTACGCTGGCCAACAAGCACCAAATGGTAGTGAAAGACTATGTCAAGGACATAGCCTGCACCTTCTCCTATGGAGGAGGGGAAGTGATCCATGAGATCTCCTTCCTGTTTAGCGACGAACTGCCATTCGATATGCTACTGGGCATGTACTACCTCTAAGTCTTGCAACCGGAGTTTGACTGGGGTAGAAAGGTGTTGATACACAAGTTGCCAAATGGTAGAACCGTTAGGCTACAGAAGTACAAGGCTAGCGATCTAGTGGAGAACTACGGCTGCACGTGCGCTTCTTCTTCTTTCTATAACTATTACAAGCAAAATCGCGAGGAGGGCATGTATCTAGTGTTTGTCTCAAAGAAAGGGGAGGCCGTTAAATCACCCCCGGAGATAGAAAAAGTCATCGCTCAATATTGAGACCTTTTTTAGGAGCCCACAGGCGTGGTAGAAAGGGAGGTTGTCCATGCAATAAAGGTTGTCCCAGGTAGTAAGGTGCCTAGAGGACGAATCTATAGGATGTCTCCTGCGGAGTTAGATGAGCTTCGCCGCCAGCTCAAGGAGCTCATAGAGAAGGGATGGATCCGGCCTAGTACCTCCCCTTACGGTGCGCCAGTCTTATTTGTGCCAAAAAAGGGAGGTCCATTAAGGATGTGCATTGACTATAGGGGCCTCAATGCCATCACCGTAAAGAACGCCGAGCCCCTACCCCGCATCGACGACCTCTTGGATAGAGTGCAGGGATGCCGGTACTTCACCAAGATAGATCTGAAGTCCGGATACCATCAAATTGTCGTTAGACCTAAGAATCAGCACAAAACCGCATTTCAGACCAGGTACGGTCTGTACGAGTTTGTGGTGATGCCCTTTGGTCTATGCAATGCACCTGGTACATTCCAGCACGCGATGAACAGTATATTTCATGACTACTTAGACAAGTTTATCGTCGTGTACCTCGATGATACTCTTTATCTTTAGTAGGACTGTAGAGGAGCACGCTGAGCACTTGAAAATAGTGCTAGGTTTCTTACGACAACACCAGTACAAGGTAAACTTGGACAAATGCGAGTTTGGTCGCACTAAGATTTTGTACTTGGGTCATGAAATCTCAGTAGATGGATTGAGGCCGGAAGATGCCAAGGTGGCCAGCATACGTGACTAGCCCAAACCTCAGACAGTTACAAAGGTCAGATCGTTTTTGGGGATGACGGGCTACTTTCGTCCGTTTGTGAAGAACTATAGTACTATAGCTTCCCCATTAACGGATCTAACTCGACTTGACACCCCTTGGGAGTGGACTGAAGAGTGTGAGGCAAGCTTCAAGAAATTGAAGTATGCTCTAACACACTATGAAGTTCTCAACTTCCTGATCCTGACAAACCGTTTGTTGTGACCACAGATGCCAGCCAATATGGAATAGGCGCGGTCCTTGCACAACAGGAGGGGCCAAAGTTGAGACCGGTCGAGTATATGAGTAAAAAGATGCCTTCCCAGAAGTTAGCTAAGTCCACGTATGAGAGAGAACTCTACGCCCTGTACAGAGCGCTTGTTCATTGGAGACACTACCTCCTAGGGAGATTCTTCTATGTGAGGTCGGACCATGAGACTTTGCGCTGGATTAAGACATAGCCTGTTCTGTCGGACGCACTCAAAAGATGGATTCAAGTGATAGACATGTATGACTATCAACTTGATCCTATCAAGGGTACGTACAACATAGTGACCGATGCATTATCACGAAGGGCAGACTATTTGGGCGCGGTAGTCAACGAGTTTGGCATATTTGACGAACTCACTCGATCGCTGGTGGAAGCCTATCAGGGAGATTCAGTTATGTCAGAGATCATCTGTAGATTCCAAGCAAAGGACAAAAAGACTTTGGACGAATTTACGATGGTAGATGGCTTGTTGTTTCTCGAGAAGGCAGGGAATAAAAGATTGTGTGTCCCGTATAGTGTCTTTACGTAGTTTATTTTTAGGCGAGTGTCATGATGCAACTGGTCATTTTGGATATAAAAAGACCTCAGCTAACCTAGTGTAAAGATTTTGGTGGCCCACTATGATGCAAGATACGAAAAGGTATGTTGAAACTTGCCAGGTCTGTCAAAGGGACAAACCTAGGACTCAGTCTCCGCTTGGGCTCATCAAGTCCTTGCCGATTCCTAAAGGTCCTGGTCAAAGTGTGTCCATGGACTTCATGGATACTCTTGTGACCAGTAAGTCTGGAAAGAGGCATATCTTCGTGATAGTTGACTGCTTTATTAAATATTCAAGACTGATCGCTATGCCAGAAACTGCGAAAACTGACTATGTCATCAAACTGTTTTTGGATCACTGGGTTAGGGATTTTGGACTACCCACATCAATAGTAAGTGATAGGGATGTAAGGTTTACCAGTGAACTGTGGCAGGCAACTGCTGAACAAATGGGAACCAAGCTCCAAATGACTTCAGGGAATCACCCTGAGTCAAATGGTCAGGCAGAACAGATGAACCGGGTAGTACAACACCTGCTTCGCCGTTATATTAAGCCAAGTCAGGATGAGTGGGACGAGCAGTTACCTCTCGTCGGCAGCCTGTACAATAACGCTGTGCATAGTACTACGAGTATGACTCCCAACCAGCTACATCTTGGTTGGAAACCCAGAACTGCGCTTGACTTTCTGCTACCGGAAAGGCAACCCACTGCCGCCCCTGGCAGCATAGAGTATGCTATCAAGTATGAACAAATGATGCAGAAGGCAGTGGAACATATTAAGAAGTCTCAAGATGCTATGATTGCATCTGAGAACAAACATAGACGGCCTTCTAACTTTCAGGTAGGTGAGAGAGTCTAGGTGAGGTCATCTGAATTGGGTCAGGGGATAGGGATCTCAAGAAAACTGATGCCACAGTACTTTGGGCCCTGGGAGATCTTAGATATTGTAGGGGATCAACCTGATGGGCCTTCATACGTGATTCACATCCCTGCGCACTTGCGGACTTACCCTGTTTTCCATGCATCCAAGCTGGCACCTTTCGCTGCCACATACCAGTTTCCCTCTCGGAGATCAATGCTGCCCCCAACGATGGATGGCGAAGTGGACATTGACCAGATTGTCGAGCACCGAGCGATGCCTGTTCCTGGACCATCCGGCAGAGGACGCCCTCCTTAACCGAGAATGCAGTATCGTGTGAGCTTCAGACATCATCTGGATCCTAAAGAAGATCGGTGGTTCAAACGAGAAGAACTCATGAGAACAACACCTCAAGTGATTGCAGGCTATGAAAGATTACTCAAAGGGAAAATGCCTGCGGAATAAGAGACTTCTCAGAGGACCTACGAAGTAAAGGAGGAGGGAATGCGAGGATCTGGGTCCGCGGTAGGCCTATGGGGCCGTGTTTGCAGCATTGCCCGCCCTAAGTGAAGGCGGAGGTGCCCGCCCTAAGTGAAGGCGGAGGTGCCCGCCCTAAGTGAAGGCGGGCCTGACATATCGCAAGAGGC